CCCGCGATTTTCTAGTATTATTGCCCTGAAAACTAATATCTTAGAAAGTGAGTTTTGATTGAACAGAATCAACTAACACTTTATTGATTTTTTGTTATTCATTACAGATCAAGGAAAAGCGGGAGCAAGTAAGTTGAAAGTCAAGGGCATGCTCAGATGGGACTTATAAAGAATAAAACAGCGTTGTATGGGTTGATGATTATTATCAAAACTTGGTTTATATTTTTCAATCTTAAGTCCAGGCTGATGGTCATTTGTGTTTTTCACTTGTAGATAATCTCCGTACGTACGTCTTTTACCTTGGACGCAAAAGACGCATTACCCCAATCAGGCGTGGAAGGTCTCTGTTTTACTCCCTTCGAGTTGGTCGACACAAATACCTTGCCGTTCCTTCAGGAAGACACCACATCATCGTCAGGAACCGCTATGGGACTCAACGGCTGCGATTAATGAATGTATACCCAAACAACACAGGAAGGTGCTGCGYAAGTATTCGCCGTTATGTAAAACGCATTCTGAGGGTGCGTTGTCGAAGAAAACGCATCATTCGATACCGTCGTCGATACCGTCGTCGTCGTCTTTTACGCAGACGGCTTCGAAAAATCCGTCGTCAGAAACGCCGCAACCGTCGTCGACGCATTCTTAAACGGACCAGACGAAAGATGAGGCGTCTCACTCGTCGATTACGTAGACGACCCCGTAAAGGAAAGGGAGGAAGACGATGGCCACGAAGAAGAAGAACTCGCAGACGACGTAGAGGGCGTCTTCCTCGAAATAAGCTTGGTGTCAGGCGAACCCGTCGTTTATTGCGCCGTTTCAGGAAACGCTTTGGAAGAAGAAGGAGAGTTCGAAAAACAACGCGAAGACGTCCTAGACCCCGTAGGTTTATACAATATCACATCGGTCCTCGAGCGCCTTGGACAACCCTCAGATATACCCGACGAAAGGTATTTCGAGGAGTATACAAGTTCAAATGGCACAGCTTTAAGATAAACCGAGGAATAGTGAGAGTGAATATGGGTACCAAACGTAAGCCAAAGTGGAAGAAAGTGCCTAAAGCTACTTTAAGGTATGAATGCAYCTCATATTAGAGCATGGGAAGGAAGCACAGGTGGGATAGTAGTATCATATGCCGTGAGTCGATCCTTGTTGGTCGGTGCTCTACTAACTTATACATTTGCTATTTATATATTTGGGTGCTATTTTTTGTTTTGCTATATATTTATATAAAAAGTYTCATTACGTATTCAAGAACAACTTGTTAACGAATGTTTGTTGACAAATCATTGAAATCGCTGTTCCTCATATGTGATATTATGTATATATATCCCAATAGTGTCAAAGTTTTAGGGATATATATAATATACAAGCTGATATTCAGTTTTCGGGCTACCTATCACAAGGGCATCTGAAAAAAATATCAGAAATGGTATCCCATGCATAATTTCTGATATACTTGTATATCAGGATCAGATATTCTGCACGTTAATTACTTCTATTCTATATATTAAAATTTCCTCTTAAATGTCTCAAAGGTACCGAATAAGGAGAGGACCTTGGTTCAAAGTTCGACCTAAACGTTTTGGCAAGAAAAGAAGATGGGTGGCACATATTGGTCGCCGCAGGCTCGTAATCAAATTCCGAAGAGGCCGACTTCGACCAATAAGAAAATTAAGGCCGCTGTGGCGTAAATTAAAACCAGCCTTATATTCCAAAAGATATCGCCGTCGTCTAAGGCGTAAACAACGAAGATTTCGAAGAAGAGTCCGCAGAGTTAAACGTTACATGAAACGTCTAAAACAATGGCGTCGACGACGCCGTCGTCGGCTTAGACGTCGCCGTCGCGTTCGTAAACTCCGAAGAAGACGACGCCGCCGAAAAAGAAGACGTCGCCGTAATCGTCGAATCCTTGGTCGCCGTGGTATACGTCGTCGATTTAAGCGTACTAAAAACAACAGAAAATCTCCGATCAAATTACTTGTTAGAAAAAGGTGGAGACCCATCTGCTATTCTAAGAAAACCAGAAAATACTATTTCCCTTATGGAAGGCGAAAGATTCCTCTGCAATTCAGTCGAGGTATTCCCAGATACAGGCTTGGAGGGCGAACACGAGTCGTCAATGTTAGAAAATATGTCAGGTGAGCCGATCAACATGTTCATTTATATCAGTTTTCATCCTCGGTAGCCTCACACGTTTGTTTTAAGAAGCAAGTGTAGCTTGGTTGGTTAGAATGCTGTCTCCTAAGCAAGAGTTCCATATCTTGCAGAGAAATAGTTCAACCGTTAGTTAAATTCCCATTTTAGCGCAAAGAACATTTTCCAGTTAAAGATTATCTTCAACGTTTCTTTTGATCATTCAATAAGACTAGTTTTGTTTTAATTTTTTTTCTAGAGTTTACATCAGAAATCGTGTAACCACTGTAAGAGTCATAAGACGTCGATGGTATATTCGTCGCGGCAAAAAATTCCGAAGATGTGTTTTACGTAGAGGTAAATTCCTGTATAGAAAAAAGAACAAGAAATGGAGGAGAATTGGAAGAACAAGACCAGCAAGACTTCCGAGACGAGTCCGTCGGCGTCGAGTACGTAGATTGATTCGCGTTCGTCGACGTAGACGAAATCGCCGCCGAATCCGTCGTCGTCGCAATAGACGTCGCCGTCGAGTAAAACGCCGACGAAGGCGCCGAAGACGCAACCGCAATAAGAGGCGTCGATATAGACGTCGTCTGCGTCGCCTTCGCTTGAGGATTCGCAAATGGCGTGTTAAAAGGCGTTCAAAACCTGGCCGTTCAAGATTAAGGATATTCCTTAAAAAGCGTTGGCGTCGTGTGGTAGGCAGGGGAAAACGACTGTACGTCAGATTTGGTCGTCGTCGTTTAAAGCCTTTGATATTCAGAGCCAAGGTGCCATATCTAAGAATTAAGAGGCGTTGGGTTAAACAGCCAGTTAAGATAGTTGGGTAAGTAGAAAAGATCATACTATGAAATTAAAACAAYGTAAAACTAGATTCATGCCTAATATCCCAGGAGAGGATGCATTCCAGTCCATATTGCAGCTCTGTTATTCCCTACATCTCGAAAATATTCCCCTAATAATTGACTTGTTCCCAGTTATACGCCTGGGTATACTGAGTCAATATGAAGGCAAAGCAGAAGACACAATGAAATCAAAAAGCAACCCAAGTTGACCCACAGTACGTACGTCTGCATCACTAATCACCAGATTATCACATCACGTCTTAGTTTTGTTCAGACTTTACTCACTGGGTCTAAAAAAATGACTCTTACTTGTTTGTTCTTCTAGCTTTCATCAAAGTAATTAATATGTTGAGTTATTCTTTTTCTGTAGTGTTCGTACTCGCAAAAAAATTCGACGTTTGAAAATGAAGAAAGGCAGATGGTACATTAGATACCGCAAGAAACCTCGCCTGATCAGATTTAGAAAGAGACGTATCAGGATCTTTTACAAGCGCAGATTTATCCGTGTTGGAAAGCCAAGACGAAAGAGACGACGTTATCCAAAACTAGCTGTACTAATATTGAAACGTTGGAGAAGGTTTGTATGCATTATGATAAAGGCATTGATGATCGTGATACAAATCATTCTGCTATGTGTATTGGAGTCATTTTTTTWAAATAAATCTTTTTTCCCACAGCGTTCGACCAGGCAGAAAATACTGGTATACTCGCGTTGGCAGAAAAGTATTTCCATTAAGAATTTTCAAAAGGAAAATTGTTCAACTTAAAAAAGGAAAGAAATGGGTTAAAGCAAAGGGAAAAATTGTTTTCAGGTAATTATTTGTATATATCTCAAATCATATAACTCTTAGCGGACATGTAAAGCCGTGATAGTCCGAATACTAGTTTAATACCAAAATATATTGTGACATGTAATACTGTTGAACAAATCTATGACAAACCATTGAAGAATATAGCTTGTCTATCTTACTTCCTTCGGCATTCATTCATTCATTCTCTGATTTATTGTCACTCTTCAGTATGGCGATGTCGCGRAGCGTGCCAGCTCTCAACATGCACATCATTTTTCATTTTCCCTGTKTTTCCATTCTTCCTTCCTCTTGTCCCATTTTTCCGTGACTTTTTAAAAATCATTTCCTGGATCTGTCTGACTATCATAAAAAGAATAATGCAATATATTTATTCTAGACCATCAGTATAGACAATACGTAATTATGGCATTAAATCAGCTCTTATTGTTTAATGTTGCAGGCTACGAAAAAGACGTCGTAACTACATCATCAGTTTGACTACGAGAAAGAAGCAAACATTCTTCAGCACTATCTATCATCGACGCAGTGTGCGCTTCGAACTCRGAAAACGATTTCCAGTGTTCCGTTCTCTTAAGAAGAGAAAACGATGGACTGTTAGAAGACGAGGACGAAAACGCCGTTATACTAAGAAAATTAAATGGCTTCGCAGACGCTACCGAATCCTGAGAAGACGCCGAAGGATTATGAAACGTAAATACAGACGTCGAAGAAAAAAATCTCGAAGACGTAAGCGCCGTCGACGCCGTGTGCGACGTCGACGCCGTCGTAACCGCAGACGAAGACGAGCAAGGCGAAATGTCCTGTATACGAGAATGAAACTGCATATAGGAAAAAGGTGGCGTCGTATTCTTTACAAAAATAAGCGATACATGGTAATTGTAAGAAGAAAACCACGACTTGTCCAAATCAGAAGAAAAAATGTCTACTATTTTATTCACAGAAAATGGGTTCGCCTCAATGTCAATCGCTTAAAGTAAGTACGTTTATGTGTCGATAATGTTTAGTTTGGGATTCAATACAATCATCATCACACTGTGTCAACCAACTGTCGTAAGAAAGTTAGTAAAGCATTATGGTAATCGTAGCATTAAACCAGGCTAAATTTTAATGAACCTGTTTGATKGTTTTTCTTAACCTATCTTCTCAATAATACTCAAGGTAATGACGTGGTCTCTTACTCTTTTAATCTCTCAGATTCGTCTCTATGGAG